CAGATTCCATTTATTGACTTGGCCCATTCTATTTTCAGTGATACTGCATACAGTTGTGAAGCAGTCATTGTATTTCTTTGGTTTTAGTGGTCATTTTATTAAGGATCTTAAGGGTTACCTTGCCCAATCATTTCTGGTGTTCAGGTGTTGGCAGCACCCACGCGGGGGACCTGGCAGCCCCCCAGGCCTCCCTGTACCTGTGGGTGCGCGGGGTGGCATTGGTGAGAAAGAACGGGCTCGGGAGTCAGGCCTCTTCCCCAGTCCCGCCCCGACCGCCTTGGTGTCGGGTGGTCTGGGACTCGTCCTTGAATCTCTGTTCACTCTGCCTCAACCCTGAGCCTGTCGGGACTCCCCCACCAGCCCCCTGGCTTCGTTTCAGGACTTTGCCTTTACCCACTTTGCCCTTTTAGAGACCAGTGTGAGGTAAGAATGAGCAAGATGGAATAGTGCCAATTGTAAGTATCTGGATTCTGTACAAAAAAAGGCAAAGAAAATGTAAAACTTCTGTTACCACCCATTGGGAAGTTTTGTGTAAATTAACTACAAATGAAGACTAAGTATAGACTACTATATAAACACTCTTAAAAAATTATTTATTTTTAGAGAGGGGAAGGGGAGAAAGAGAGGGAAGAAAACATCAGTGTGAGAGAGAAACATCGATCGGTTGCTTCTTATGACCAGGGACCGAGCCCACAGCCCAGGCCTGTGCCCTGACTGGGAACTGAGCGTGTCCCCTCGCTTTGCAGGAGGGCGCCCAACCAACTGAGCAACACGGGTCAGGGCCGCATAGATACTCTGAAGTGGACAAGTTGAAGTGATTCTCATTCCCTGTGCAGGCTGTTCTCACAGTGCCGTGGTTATTTTTCCGGGCATCCTAGCTCCCTTCCCAGTGCCCTGGGCTGTTCCCGCAGGGGCTTCATCTCTGCCTTCCACTGTCTGGCTCTTTCAAGCCCTCCTCCGGGATGCTTGCTTCGTTGCCTCAGTAACGTTCCTCCTTCCTCCAATCCTGTCCAGGGCCCAAACCTTGTACTTTGAATGGTGGTCACTGGAGCCCGTGGCTTATTCCCATCTTCGGGTCCTCGGTGCCCAGGAGGCTGCCCCAGCACGTGTCCCTGCAGATGCCTGTCCCCACCTTCCACATTGCTGCCCTGCCCTCCGCCCTCCTGACGCTGCCCAAGTGATAGAGTGGACCGTGGCAATAGCTCTTATTTCTGTGTGAGCTTTATTCTCGGCTTATTCTTTAAACGTTTCATCTTTTGGCTTTTTCCTTCTTTTTCATAGCACCGAATAGCAATGCTTTTTAACCAGGGCTGCTCATCAAAACATTGGTGCCCGGAGCCCAGCCACCCTGGGGTCATCTCAGTGCCATGGGGCTCAGGACACTGGTCCACTGCCTGTCTGCGGTGGGCATCTCCTGTAGCCGTGGCCGTGAACCTCTAGCCCTGAGCACTCTATTGCAGCCTGGGTTTGTGTTTACTTATTACGTGTGTGTAGAGACCGGTGCCTTGTGTATGCCCCGTAGTTAGTGCAGATCGCGATGGTTAAAACTGAGCCACTTCTCTGTCATCTCCGTGGCTTACAGCCTCGCTTTCACCTTTCACGTCTGTCCCGTTTGATCTAAAATGTGTTCAGTACTGTACTGCCCATGTCTTGGGTTAGGTTCTCATCCTTTATTGGTGGGGGTGCTCTTGGCAAAGGCCTCCTAACTTATTTTCTCTCTTTCTAGCTTCTTCCTCTGCCTCCATCCGTTGCATAAACACCAAGTTTGTGTTGTGGGGAGGAAGAAGGCACTTCCACGGGATCACGAGGAAAGCATTCCAAGGACCCACGCGCGGGAGGTGGCGGTGTGACAAAGTGGAAATAGACGCTGTCCCCTGGGTTCCCGGTGTCCCATCTCTCTCTGTCCTGCCATGGAAAAAGTCCAGCCATGTCTTTACCAAGGCTGAAGCAAAATATAGAGTCCAGAGTTGCTGCTTCATGTTAAAGCTCAGTCTTTTGGAGCCCATACAGTCTGCCGTGGGTCCTGGTGGCTGCTGGACCTGCGTGGTCTGGTGCTCCGGGCAGGAGAGAACACGCAAGCACACGGGGCAAGTGTGTCCCTGGGTGGCGGGGCTGGGGAGAGAGAGCGCGTGCGTGCACAGAAGCACTTCTTTGTTCTTCTGGGATCATATTAGTGTAGGTTTGGGAAGGACCAGGTGCTTTACTAAGGAACCAGTCAGTCAACTTCCCACGTTTCTGTGGGCTTTTGATAGGCCCACGCCCTGGTTAGACCACCAGGTCTGGCACCCCTCCTTCAACACTCTGGTACCAGATGGGGGAGGTTAATCCCCTTGTCAAAGCAATGCTGTGACCCCCGGGGGTGTGAAACTGTAGCTTCCTGTGGAGGCAAACGGGCTCTCGCTCCCCAGTGTAGTAGACTCAATGGCTAATTTCCATTGCTCCCTTTTCCTTTTAATAATTAGCTAACTACCAGCGGTAACATTTTGACTTAGGACATGATCATTTGTTCTCTGGAGCACCCCAAGACAGCGTGAACCGTTAGAGCATGGTGCCCACAGGCTGTGCAGTGTGCCTGCCGTTGCTTCCAGCCTGGTGTGGCCATGTGGGGACCGGACTGAACCCCAACATCAGGTCTCGGCCGGCCTCCTCTTACCCGAATGAGTGGAGGAGCCAGACCTTGCCAATTCTTTCTTTTTTTTTTTTTTTAAATTTAATTTATTTACTTTTAGAGGGGAAAGGAGGGAGAAAGGCAGGGAGAGAAACATCAATGTGTTGTTGCCTTTCACATGGGCCCCACTGGGGACCTGGCCCACAACCCAGGCATGTGCCCTGACTGGGAATCGAACCAGTAACTTTTTGGTTTGTAGGCCGGCACTCAGTCCACTGAGCCACACCAGCCAGGGCGCCAATTCTTTATTGAAACCTCAGGGGCCCTGAATGTTTGTAGCTCAATTTAAAATTATTTATTTATTTATTTTTAGAGAGAGGGACGGGAAGGAGAAAGAGTGGGAGAGAAACATCAGAGTGTGGTTGCCTCTCGTGTGTTCCCCACTGGGGACCCGGCCTGCAACCCAGGCATGTGCGCTGACTGGGAATTGAACCAGCAACCCCTTGCTTCACAGGCCCGTGCTCAATCCACTGAGCTACACCAGCCAGGGCTGTAGTTTAGTTTTAAAAAAAAATTAAAAGGTTGCCCTGGCTGGTGTAGCTCAGAGGATTGAGCACAGGCTGCGAACCAAAGGGTCGCCGGTTCAATTCCTCGTCAGGACACATGCCTGGGTTTTGGGCCAGGCCCTGAGTATGGAGTGTGCAAGAGGTAACCACACATTGATGTTTCTCTCCCTCTTTCTCTTTTCCTTCCCCTCTCTCTAAAAAAGAAATAAGTAAAATCTTAAAAAAAATTAAAAGGTATTTGATCGATTGATTTTTTTTTTTTTTTAAGAGCTAGAGCAAGGGAGAAAGAGAGAAACACTGATTTGTGCCTCCACCCAGGTGTGCGTTCACCAGTTGCTTCTTGTGTGTGCCCTGACCAGAGATCAAATCAGCAGCCTTGGCGTACGGGGGTGACGCTCTAGCCAACGCAGCTACCTGGCCGGGGAGCAGCTCACTTTTCAGGAAGGAGCTGACTTCTCTCCCTGACAGTTAATACTTTTGCCAAGAGTCATATGCTTTCGTCCCGAGTATGTACACGGCAGCTACGCTGTTAGTGGTGTGAACAGATCGGTGGCTACTATGAAAACTGAGTTGGATACCGAACTGGATACCCGTTAAAGTGCTGTTGGTTCCAGGGCAGGGATGTCAAGCGCGTTGTCACCGGTGGGGGCCACATCAGCCTTGCAGTTGCCTTCAAAGGACCGCATGTAACTTTAGGACTATATAACTGTAACTACTCCTTAACAGTTAAGCGAGAGCCCGGTGCTGCTGCCGGGTAGAAACAAAGTGCCGGGCCGGATAAAACAAGGTGGGGTTGGCCCGCGGGCCTTGTGTTTGCCCCCTGTGCCTGGGTCCCTTCCAAAGACAGGGCCGGCAGATAGAGTGGAATACTAATCATACTGAGACTTTCAGTTCACGTTGTTCTTAAAAAGATCTTGATTTGATCTCTTTTTTCACTTAAAACCTCAGTTTCTAGTAACACCAACATACTTTATCATAAACATAGGTTTTGTTAGTTTAACATTGCTGTATCAGTATACACGAAATACGAAAAAAATTTAATGTCTATACTGTAATTATTAATAAGACCAATGTGTACAGTTTAAGTTTTTTCCCTTGGATTTTATCTGACTAAAGATGTATAGTTCAGACGACTCTTGAAATACTTTTCTTTTTTAAAGATTTTATTTATTTTTAGAGAGGGGGAAGGGAGGGAGAAATGGAGGGAGAGAAACATCGATGGGAGAGATAAACTTCGACCGGTTGCCTCTTGCACACGCCCTGACAGAAGACCAAACCTGCAGCCCAGGCACGTGCCCTGACCAGGAATTGAACCCATGACCTTTTGCTTTGCGGGACGCTGCTCAGCCAACTGAGCCACACTGGTCGGGGTGAAATACTTTTCTTTTTAATAAATGCAGGTTTATTTACTTGTTACCAGTTGTAGGATTTGCTTTTTTATGATTTAACTTTTGAAAACGGTAATCATTTATTGTGTTAGAAGTAAAAACAAAGGAGCTCTACTCGCAGTCTTGTTTCCGTTCTTCTTTATCGCCTTCCACTCGTGTCCCCTTCCTGTCTGTGCCACAGGCAAGCATTGTTATTTGTTTCTGGTTTATCTGCCCAGGGCACGGGCTTTGCGAGTCTTTTTCCCTTGTACTTTACACAAAAATTAGCATAGTATATACACGGTTATGTACTGTGTGCCTTTTTCATTTAACTGCTTTTCTTGGGATAATGGTTTAGTCAGTGTTGACGAGGAAAGGAGATTTTCTCCATGTCGCTATTGAGCATGTCACTGTGAGTATGGTCACACTCCCTAAGTGTGTCTTCCTTGTCATTGCCAGCTCGCCTTCACCAGAGATGGGCTCTGTGGACTGTGGAATGAGATGGTTAAAGACGGAGAAATTGTATACAACGGGGCAGAACTACCCCCGACCGGAGACCTGCCTGCTAGGAAAGGTAACGGCCTTTTACTAGTCCTTTTCATTGGTGACGACATGTATCAGTCACGTTTTACAGATTTTCTGGAATGTGCTGTAAAAACAGGAACGTCTGAGAATAACTCTTCAGAGTTTTGTTTCGCTTTGCTGGTGGTTATCTCAACATAGTTCATGTTATAGCTGCTGGAGTTTTATCGCGCTGTGCGAACGGAAGGCCTTTTTGTGCAAAACCTTCTCCCTGTGGTGTCCTTCCTCTGCTGTCTCCTCTGCAACTTATAGGAACATCAGTTCATATTTCTTAAGTTTTCTTAAAAAAAAAAGATTTTATTTATTTATATTTAGAGAGAGGGGAAGGGAGGAAGAGTGGGAGAGAAACATCAATGTGTGGTTGCCTCACACAAGCCCCCCGCTGGGGACCTGGCCTGCAATCCAGGCATGTGCCCTGACTGGGAATTGAACCATTGACCTTTCAGTTTGTGGGATGACGCCCAGCCCACTGAGACACACCAGTCAGGGCTCTTCTTTTACGTTTTGAAAGTATGTCTTGCCTTGGCCAACCATGAGTAGTGATTTTTAAAAAATCCTCACCTGAGGATTTGCTTAAGGAGAAAAGGAGAGGGAGAGGTGGGGGGCGGTGAGAGAGAGAAAGGAGAAAAAAACAGAACTATTGATCGGTTGCCCCCCGTGTGCACCTTAACTGTGGATCAAACTGGCAGCCTAGGCGTGTGCCCTGACTGGGAGTCGAACCCACAAACTTTTGGTGTATGGGACGATGCTCCAACGAACTGGGCCACCTGGCCGAGGTAAATAGTAATTTTTAAAAATTATTTCTTATTATTTAAAAAAATTATAAGATCTTTTCAGTTATAGTTGGCATATAATCATGTATTAGCTTCAGGTATAGAAGGTATATATAAATGTCTGATATAACTGATATCATTTATATAACTGATAAAGTGATCACCCTGATACGTCCAGTCCCCATCTGACACCATCCACGGTTATTACAGCATCATTGACTGTGCAGTACTTTATATCCCTGGGACTGTTTATGGGCAAACCGTGCGTCTATATCCCTTCGCCTTTTCACTCATCCCTGTAAACTCCCTCCTGTCTGGTGAGCGTCATCTGGTCTTTCTCTGTGTCTGAGTCTGTTTCTGTTTTGTGTGTTCATTTATTTTGTTTCATAAATAGTCATTATTATAAGATCAAGTACAAATAATAGTTTCTGAAATTTTCTCTGTATTGTTACCAAACAAAGGGACCAAGGGGTGTATGATACACTATTACCGAAAGGACCCCACACTAGGTTTGCTTGTCCGCCGCCAAAGGAAAGATGTCTCTCGATGCCAGAGATTTGTGAAAAGGAAAGGAAAGGTTTATTTAAAATGATACAGACTTAAAGCAGTGACCTAACATCTTCATTAAAATATCAAGGTCCTTTAGGATACCCACAGACACGCACAGTCCTTCCTTCTCCCGCTCCCTTAATTTGAGGTACCGTATCTCAGGAAGAGAAGTAGATTCAGGTTCCTGGCAGCCACGTGGCCTTCTCTTCACCAAAGCTGTGGGGGTAGGGGGTCTCCACTCTGCCAAAGCCACGTGGTTCTCTCCCTCACATGGCTGTGGGGGTCTCCACTCTTGTCGGAAACTCGTGGCTCTCCCTTCAGTGGCCGCCGTGCCTCAGTTTAAATCCCCGCGCCAGTCCTCCTCCGCAGCCCCATTTCCACTCCTCCCACGATCGGCTACACTTGCCAGTACTCCAGTATCCTTCCAGCGTTCCTGGGCTGCCGCTGTGAGTCTGGGCAGGCGTGGCTCCATGGCGTGGAGCCGATCATCTCCAAGCTCTCACTCGGACACTGTAACCAGGGGGAGTTGCCTCCCAGTTACACCTGGGGTGGAAGCACTCCCATCCCCCTGGCTCAGAGCATGGCTGCAGCTATTAAACATATCTATGAAACCAGTTAAAGGTTATAGACATGGTAAATGACCATGCCAGAGGTCAGCTGCAAGGCTGTGGCTGTCCAAAACAGCCCTGCATGTTCCTGCTCCGTGTGCCCCTTCCCCCACTCTCACCTGTGGGGGGAAGGGGTGAGGACATTCTAATATTTCCTGGACACCTTGTGTTCTGGACCCCATTCCAAATCCCTATTTGGGGCCCCCTCTTGGCTGCACCCTGTTACAGTGTGACTTTCCTTTTCGGAAGCCTTTGGCCCATGGATGGGACTCGGTCCCCTATTTTATTGTCATTGTGTCCTCCCTGAAGTACCAGTGAACAAACATTGTTGCTCAGATTTGTAGTTAGGAAAACTCAGACACTCTTTCAGTTGATCTAGACACTGGCTGTGAATTAGAATCACTGTTGAGGCTTAAAAATGGGTGCCTGCCCCCCAACCTGCAGACTCTGAAAAGCCTCACTTGAGACCCACCGCTGAAGTGTGTCAGTCCCACCTTTTGAAAGTCATCAAGATGAATAAAAAATACTGTCTTCAGAAGTAGTTCTTTCTTTCTTTGTAGAATGAATTGAGATACTGTCCACTTGAAAATACACTGTGAAAACAGTAGTGTATCCTCTCATTTACAGTGTCTATCAGAGTTATCCCTTTTTCCCGATACTTCACCGTGAAAATTCCCACACGCCCAGAACACAGAGCGCACACTGAGCAGCCGCGCCCCCTCGCCCAGACCTGCCCCCAGTTCCTCTGAGCCTGGGTGCGTCTCAGGGCGCCCTGGCTCTCTCTGTCTGTCTGTCCATCCGTGCCATTTACCGCACTCCCCTAGACACTGCATGCATGTAATTAACCTGATACAGTTCAGTTTAGTTTTTTGTCTTTAAGGTGAAAGTTATGCATAGTGAAATGCATATATTGTAAATTTACTATTCCACAGGTTTTGATGAATATAGTATATTTTTCCATGTATAATGTGTACTTTTTTGCTCAAATTTTTGAGGGAAAAATAAGAATGCGTATTATACATGGGCAGCCCCAGGTACTTAAAAAAACAGCTTATCTAGTTTTTGATCACTTCAAGGCCCAGGATACACAAAGTGTGAAAGCAGTTGGAGCAGACTTGAAAATTCCTTTATTTATTTTAAAAAATATTTTATTTATTTATTTTTAGACAGAGGGGAAGGGAGGGAGAAAGAGAGGGAGAGAAACATCAATGCGTGGTTCTTCTCGCGCGCCCCCTACTGGAGACCTGGCCCGTCGCCCAGGCATGTGCCCTGACTGGGAATTGAACCAATGACTCTTTGGTTCGTAGACCAGCACTCAATCCACTGAGCCACACCTGAAAATTCCTTTAAAATACAAAAAAAAAGTGTCTAAATATGAATAAATAAATAACTTAATTAAAAAATGAAAATGAAAGATTTTGGTAGTTCATTCTGTGTATTTTCAACCATTTATACCTCTTCTTTCTGCCCCCTAGTATTTGTTGGGGAATAAAAACAGTGTTTCCCCAAATGTGTTTCATGAGACACTAGTTCTAAAAGGTGCTTTGAAACATTCAAAGTGTATTTCTCATTTGTTCATTTGATGAATGTTTTTTTGTTCTTTGTTCTTTTAAATGCCATGTTAAAAGCAAAGCATAACTGTTCTTCATGCAGGTCCTAACTGAATTGTTTTGGGGAGTCATTTTTGGATATTCAGTAAAAGTTTCTATTTTTAGTGTGGAATGATGTGTGTTTTTTATTAGAAAATACTGTTTTCACAGACGTATTTACGTGTATCAAATTCCGTTTTGTGCATCTTATTTGTCGGTTGTGTTGTAGTGATTGCGAGGAACATGCAGAGCAGAGTAGAAGTTCCTCAAATGCAGTTTCTCGGCTGTATTTCCCCAGGATCGGTCACAGGCACCTTGTGTTATTGCGCTTTGCCGGTGCTGTGCTTTGCAAATGTTCTGTTTTTTACAAATTGAAGGTTTGTGGCAACCCTGCATTTTCCCAACAGCATTTGTTCACTCTGTCTCACATTTTGGTGATTCTTGTAATATTTCAAACATTTTCATTAGTATTATATTTGCGGTGATATGTGGTCAATGATTTTTTTTTTTTTAATCCTCACCGGAGGACTTTTCTTTCATTGTCTTTAGAGAGAGGGGAAGGGAGAGAGAGAAAGGTCAATAAGGGAGAGAAGCAGCGATTGGTTGTCTCCCCTCTGCCCCCGGACTGGGGATCGAACGTGCAACCTAGGTAAATGCCCTGACCAGGAATGAAACCTGCCACCTTGTGGTTATGGGACGACGCTCCAACCAACTGGGCCACACCGGCCAGGGCTGTGCTCGGGTATCTTTGATATTACTAGGCAGCCCCCTCCACTGGCAAATTGATTACAACTCACCGAAGGTGCAGATTGATGGTTAGTGTTTTTTAGCAATGCAGTATTTTTTAATTAACATGTACATTTATTTATTTATTTTTAAAGCTGTTTATTTATTTATTTTTAGAGGGAGGAAGGGAAGGAGAAAGAGAGGAAAAAAACATCAACGTGCGAGATGCATCGACTGGTTGCCTCTCATGTGCCTCCTTGCGGGGACCTGGCCCAGGTTCACGTGCCCTGACTGGGAATCAAACCAGCAGCGCTTCGGTTTGCAGACTAGCACTCAGATCCACTGAGCTACACCAGCCAGGGCTTATTTATTTATTTATATTTTTAAAAGATTATATTTATTTATTTTTAGAGAGAGGAGAAGAGAGGGAGAAAGAGAGGGAGAGAAACATCAGTGTGTGAGAGATACATTGATTGGTTGCCTCTTGCACACCCCCAAGAGGGGACCTGGCTAGGGACCTGGCCCGCAGCCCAGGCATGTGCCCTGACTGGGAACCAAACCAGCAACCTTTCAGTTCACGGGCTGGTGCTTAATCCACTGAGCCAGGTATGTACATTTTAAAAAGACTATGCTATTGCACACTTAATAGTCTATGGTGTAATGTAAACCTAACGTTCATAATGCAGTGGGAAACCAAAAAGTAATAAATCGTGACTCACTTCAGTGCGGTATTCGCTTTATTCTGGT